TTGAGATAATCTGTGATGCTAACTAAGATAATCAATAATCTCAGATATTAAATAATATAAGCTAAAATTTTAATCAGGATAGTGAGACATGCTAATTCATTAACTTTTTTGCTAACAGATAATAACAGCCAGTTTTACTAAGGTTGTTACCTAGGTAACTTCTTTTGATCCTATGTATATTTTTTAAGTCATGGTGATTGTGTAATGAGGTTTTTTAACATAAATGTGAAGATATTTTTAACACTTTTTAAGTAATTGGAACTGCAAAGTCATCTTGCCTGGTGTGTGTTGTATTAGATAATTGGAGGATATATTTTATTTAGATAACAATCGGATACAGCACTTGCCAAGCGATGACTTTGGTTTAATATATAGTCCTACAGTGAAGTGTTAGGACAACTGCAGTGAGCCAAATTTTCCAAAAATCTGATTTTAAATTGAGCTCTTTTTTGAAATAACTGGTATTGGGTGCATTTGATTGCCGGAGTTCATCTTTGCTGAATACGATGGCAAATGTCTGTTCTGCTCAACTGTGCTTCTAAAGCGGAAAAGGAAATTGGGCTAACTATCATAACCATGTGTACACCTGATCTATGTGTTGTATAGAAAATGTTGTTCTCTATGTCCCCAATGAGGGCAGTATTGTACATCATATGGAACTTACTATTATCTCCTATAGAGGGGGTATTGTATCACATCACTTCGTATGGAGAAAGCTTCGTGATATTGCACAGAATACACTTTATTCTTTCCTCTAATGAGGGCAGTATTCTAATTTTAATGACCATTTCGTCAGACAAAATCTGTGTTTACCTTTTCATGACTTAGATTTGGTATGAACTCATTACTTTGTTTAGTTGGGTAACCCGGTTATGCCATTCGATGTAGGGGGTATATTTTCTATGAAATATGAGCCAAGACCATTAAGTGCCATTATTACTGTGTATATTTCAATGTCTGTCCTTGGTGTTAAACTTTAAGCATACACAAATAATTTGATCTAAGGAGTATAGTTTGTTGTAGAATCATGTTCAAATACAGGCTTATTTGGCTGGACCATTCTGTTCTGTCTGTAAGAGCTTTTCATTTGTAGTTTATATTCTTTGCACTGCCAATCTATCGTGATTTTTTAAAACAACTTAGTAGTTGTAAGTTCTAGTATAAAACTATAAAATCTAATATTTTAATACCATTTTAGTGTCTTTTAGTGATATTGTTTGCAGATATGTTGGACAGTGTTCTGATTGCTTAAAGCGTGGTGGTCGTCGCGCAACACGTGTTCTAATTTCATGTAAATAAACAATGTATTTTACATGTGTTGTATACATCGCTATGAGCCCATATCGAACAGGACGCGGCACGGCGACTGCCGCCCTTTAATCGAATAGCCATAATCATCGCTAAAGTTTATCATAACATATTAATTAATAGAAATAACTTTTTAGCATAATTATTTACAAAATTGTACGCAGAAGAATTAGACTGCCATATATCGATTTTTTTTTTTGCAGTCTTAAAATTTCACTTCAGAATATCTTAATTTTTGGGGGGTTAATAAATGATATAGCAATGCTATGACAGATCCTGATGTAACTTGCACGTGTCCATTCATACAGGAGGTGTTATTTGTTGTTAATAACATTAAGACTTAAATGCACCATGTGAACTCAAAGGCTATTATGTACTGTGTGTTTTCATTGGTTTCCAAACATAATAATTAACATTGTCATTTTTTGGCTGTCAAATGTGAGACTGTACAAGTAATTCAAGATTGAATGTCGTGTATTGACATTTCATACCTGAAAATTAAGAATGACAAAAAAAAATATCAACGTTGCGTGTCTAGAGTTTAATATGAAGTAAAAAACTATATACATGTCTGTCTGTCTGTCTAACAGTGTCTGATGAATGTATAAGTATGTGTGTGTGTTCAGATAGTTTTTTAACTTTACATAAATTGATGTAAATTTTACTTACAAATCTCAGAATATCTGACTTTTATTAATCCTATTATTATGGATACAGTTGCACCAACATTTTTTCCTTTTGTTGTTATTATTATTATTATTGTTTGTTTTATTGTTGTAAATAGTTTTTGTCAACAGGAGGGTAGCTTGTCCCTCAATGTCAAACACTATTCCTTTCATTCTGTCATTTTGTGATTTACATTCTGGGGACATTGATGTGGCTGTATACTTATCAGAACATGTCCTAAATAGTGCCTTGTATCAGCTAACGAACACTTCACAATACAGGAGTATGTCTCTTCTCTATTGTCACCAAATCAGAGTGATTTGTTTGAAAGTTTTATGTAACCCCCCCCCCCCCCCTCCCTTTATTTTTAAAAATCTTGAATGGTAATTTTGTGTTGCTGCAGAATGTAATATTCTCAAATCTATTTTTGTGTTCAAGTTTCTGCATCATCCTTTTTTATCAATCATTGAATTTATAATGCACTATAAATAATAATGCTTGCACTGTAAACTGTTTTAATTTCACCGGAGACAAATTTTTGCAAGTTTGTGAAAGTAACAAAATTTTGTTGCAAAATTTCTCTTAAGTTCAATGACTTTCCCGAAATGTTTCTTCACGAATGCCGTAAAATCATTAAATCGCAAAAATTTGTTTCAACAGAAAAATTTGACAGTTTACAATAATTAAACATGGTGGTATTGTGTAAGATTATATGATGAGATTTTGGTAATTAACCAGTATTTGTTAAGTGATATTTATTTACTAATGTCATTTCGAATTTTAAATTATTATCTTTTTAAATCTTTGCTGGTATAAATCAATTATTGGGTCAGCAAAAAATCACAAAATTGATGAAGAGAAGCATTTTAAACATTAGTTTTCAATATGTGTGTGTTAAGTGTATACTTTGTCACTACATGTACTATCGTAATTTCACTTGTTCTATGCAGCAAGTTCTGATGCCTCTTCCTGGCAAACAAATTGTGATATCATTATTTCTCAGTAAATTGTGATGTCACACTTGCTTCTCAGTAAATTGTGATGTCACCCCTTCGCTTTCAGTAAATTGTAATGTCACTCTTTCTGCTCAGTAAATTGTGATGTCACTCTTTCTGCTCAATAAATTGTGATGTCACTCTTAATGCTCAGTAAATTGTGATGTCACTCTTTCACTGTCAGTAAATTGTGATGTCACTCTTAATGCTCAGTAAATTGTGATGTCACTTTTTCACTGTCAGTAAATTGTGATGTCACTCTTAATGCTCAGTAAATTGTGATGTCACTTTTTCTGCTCAGTATATTGTGATGTCACACTAGCTGCAAAAAAAGTTGTGACATCATACCTATTTCATTTTAGTATCATTTTCAATAGCTAAAGATGTTACAACCCAATATAAAATCACATAATTTTCAGGATTTGGTTTATACAAAGAATGTGAAACGCAAGATTTCAAAATGTCTGGTGGTGGCATCAGCTGTTCGTAGAAAGCACATTTTAATAGTTTGTAATAAGAATGCCACATGCTGATTGGTCGATGTATAATTTTCAAGATGAGTCATTGTGTCATGTTTACCGGTGCATATTTCACAATAAATCACAAATAAAAATATTATTATAATAACGTGTTTACTTTTTTATACTTCCATTACACTTTGACATTGAGGAATGGGGCAGATTTAACATGGCTAGCTGATCATTCTTTTCTGTCGGTACATCCGTTGTATTTATTGTACGATTACCGATAGTAGCATATGTGCTTATGTGAATGACAGGTGATCAAAAAAAGATAAATTAATGCTTTAGTATACAGTTTATGTGTACTTATAAAAATGTGATGTTAATAGAGCAAAACAGTAATGGAAACATTCTTAAAACAATC